CTTGAACTTTCATTTCCTTTCACTTTGGTCCATTTTCACATATTTCTTCCAAATTACGCTATATCCATCAACTTGCCACCTAAACCAAAATATGAGAATACTAAGTACATTTAGGCATAAAATAGTCATATGAGCGCATTAAATAAAGATGCAAAATGTGTATTTTATATTCCTATCAATTCCGAGTTGGTTACAAGCTCCATGGCAAAGATAATAAACCTCCAAATCGTAGCAGAAGAACTGTTGCACATCAAACTAGTGTCGAAAGGCATTAGGACACAATAAAGACACTAGGTAAACAGACTCCCCAATTTACCTCTGAAAAGCTTGCCCAAATAAAAGCTTTCTTTAGAAATGGTAAAAATTCTACTTGAGCAAATTATGCAGGTATCTCTACACCTTTTTGCTCATCCTTTAGTGTACAAAAGACAGACTTGAATCTCTGGATTATTGATAGTGGTGCAACAAACTACATAGCAACTTCAGTACCTAATACCTCTCCCTTCTCAAGTAACCTTGCTCAATGGTGCTTATTCTAAGATAACTCAAATTGGCCCAACATACCTCTCGAACCATTTGAGTGTTATAAGCATATTATGCATCATTGAGTCCAACTTGAGATATCATTCGTGGAAATATGCATAATATGTTTTTGACATATCAGATTATACCAATGATCCATCTCCACTTGAAACTCATCCTATTTCTCCTTCACCTGTGATCATCACTACATCACCTAATTCTTTTTGGTCGTTCGCTTCTTCACCTTCTCCCTTTATATCCTCTCCTGAACCTCCTATTTGCAGAAGCGCATAAGTGAACGTGTCAGACAACCATCCATTCTCCTGTAAGATTTTCGTTGTGGACATATTAGTACAACGCCATCAACTGCAACTTCAAACCAGGCATCTTCGACTAAGTCAAGTACTTGATATCGTTTAAATAACTATCTTTCCTATGACTTTTTGTCTTCTAACCATAAAAACTTTGTTAATACCATTTCAAGTGTCCTCAAACCAACCTCTTACGCTTAGGCTGTCTTAGATCCAAAATGGCAAAGAGTCAATGTAATGTGAACTTGATGCTCTCGCTATACAAAAGACATGGTCCTTAGTTCCTTTGCCTACTGGTCATCATCCCATTGGCTGCAGAGGGGTTTATCTTATCAAATACAATTCTAATGGCACGATTGAATGCTACGAAGCTCGGTTGGTAGCTAAAGAATTTTCTAAACACGAAAGCTTGGATTATACTGAAGCATTTGCTCCTATAGCCAAATTGACCATTGTTCGTTGTGTTCTTGCTGTTGCTGCTATAAAACATTGGCCATTGTATCAAATAGATGTGACCAATGCTTTTCTCCATGGAGATTAAGAGGAAAACATGACTCCACCATGGATCCTTTGTCAACAGGAGCAGCTCGTACATCGACTGCATAAGTCCCAATATGGTCTTAAACAAGCTCTTTGAAATTGGTTTTCCAAATTTCCTCGTGCTATTGAGAAGGCTAGCTTTATCCCAACCACATTCAGATTATTCGTTGTTTGTGAAGTCTTCACTTGTCTACAAATATGGCGCTTATCTATGTAGATGACATAATGATAGCTGGAAATGATGCAGTTGCTATACAAAGTTTCAAACAATTTCTTCACCAGCAATTTCATATTAAAGATCTTGGTCTTCTTAGGTATTTTCTTGCGTTGGAAGTTGTAAGGTCCAAAGCTGGTATTGTTATCTCTCAACGAAAATATACTTTAGAGATCATAGCAACAATCAAACTTTCCCTCGGAGATGAATCTGAACCTCACAAATCATTAAGGTGACCTTCTTCATGATCCAGCTTGCTAAGGAAAACTAATCTCTCTCACAATTACAAGACCAGACATTACATACTCAGTTAATATCTTAAGCCAATTTATGCATGCTTCAAGAAAGCCTCACTGGGATGCTGCTCTTTGTATTATCAAGCATTTGAAAGGAAGTCTTGGTTTAGGTTTGTTATTCTGATCAAGCAATTCCTTTACTTTGATTGTGATGCTAATTGGGCAAATTGTCCTACAACAAGAAGATCAACAACAGATTATTATGTGATCTTAGGGAATTCATTGATTTCTTGGGAAGCAAAGAAGCAAAAAACAGTTTCAAGATCATCCTTAGAAGCTGAGTCTTGAACCATGGTAGCATCAACCTATAAGCTAACTTGGCTCAGATTTTTTCTCAATGATATGCAAGTATCTATCAGACCAGCAAGGCTGCTATGTGATATTCAAGCTGCTCTCCACATTGCAGCCATATATCACAAGCACACAAAACACGCAATTTGACAGTCACGTTTTAAGAGAAAAGATACAAGATGGTCAGATTCACCAGATTTGTCCCATCTCATTTGCAGCTGGCATTTTTGCAAAATCTCTTGGAGGAAATGTTTTTAAGAAGCTAAGAACCTAGTTCAACATGCTGGATATATATATTCCAACTTGAGGGGGAGTGTTAAGATTATGTTAGTTTTGATTTGAATAACTAAGAAATATTATTCCTGTATTTAGGTGATTTGTAATCCCTTTCTATGAGGGAATTAGTTAAGATCTTTATTTCACTTTCCTTATAGTTTTGGATACATTAGCTCTTGTAAACTTACAAATTGTAGTCTCTTGAATGTTGGAAATAATAAAAGCATATACAATTTTCTTAAAACTTATTTTTTTTCAATTAGTTTGTTTGTTTCCTATGATAGAAGTACACAGTTGACTTGGTATGCCAATTTTCTTATTATCATCTCTGAGGTTTTCAGGAGGATTTATCTGGTATATTGTGGTCCCCAAGTGTCTCTAAACAATAACTGTTTAAGAAGTGAACAAATAAGCAAGGTTTCATATGCTTTCAGCAATCTACTCTTACGAGATTGTATTTTAACCTAGATAATGATATCTGAGGTCTTATGGCATCATGATACAATGTTAGGAGAGATTGTACTTAATATAGTTTTCAATTTTAAGGTTTATGTTAACAAGCATTGATAAATGAAATGAATTGATATTCTTCCCCAATTTTTCTCTACTCTCTTCTTCTCTCTTTTCCCCCTCCTTTCTCTTCTCCTTTCCCCATCTCCTACAATTCTCCTATTGCATCCTGCATCATTAATTATTGTTGCGATGATGGCTTCTTGAATTATTATTTTCCAGGTTTCATCAATTGCCCGAATTTGACCAAGGAAAACGGAGTTGCCGCAGACGACTTGCAGGCCACAATGAGCGTAGGAGGAAGCCACCACCTGGATCTTTATTGTCCACTCGCTATGGAAATCTATCTTCATCCATATTTGGTTAGATATGATGGATTCAACTTCTTCCGAGGAATCCTTTTTGTGCTAATATTTTCGCAAAATATGCATTCCCAATTTTGATTAATTTCTTTTTCGAAGAAACTGAGTTCATATGATTGATATTTGCCATGGCAGAAAACCATGGCAGAAGTAGAGGCTTTGTGATGGACTTTGCTACAAACCCGATTCTGACTGGGAGGGATTCGACAAATACAATGTCTTCTGAACGAGTGGTGGGCAATCAAGATACGATCACAGGAAAGTTTGCACTTTCATGGCAGGGTGATTTGCAAAATCCTCCACCTGATCTTCTGCAAGGTTTAACAACCCGAACAAGTTATTTGGGTCCTGGAGTATCTTTAGAAGAATGTTACAATGGAGTCTCGGACTCCAGCAGTGCTCACTCTCTTCTGTCAAATCAACCGTGGGACTCAAGAAACCATTCGTCCAGTCATGGGAAAAACAGTTCATTTGGTGCCAATGGGACACCCCTGGTTCAACCGTTGGTTACCCACAGTGCACCCATTGGTCACTTTTTGTCCTCGCAGGGCAACCAAGTCAGTAGCAGTTTGCATGAGATGCCTCCTGATCTTGGTTTGGGTCAAGTTTTGCAGCCTGGTAACAGTCAGCATTCCAGTGAGCTCAAGATTGGCAGCGGACAGTACCAGCAGTCCAGGGGTTTTAATTCTTCCGTCCAGCATATGAACTGGTCACTTTAAAACCTTGTATCTTTAATAACTTGCAGGTTCTTCTGAAGTTTCTTGGAATCTACTTGTGCCATTTGCTCTTCGTGCTTCGTTTGGAAAAAGACTTATGTATCTGTTGCATGTTTTGTGCTTTATGTTTAAAGGACGCCTGTCACGTTTGTTCTTTGTTTAGAGTTTGCCTACTATTGTCCCAAGTGCCTATTGCGCGTGACTTAGATAAGGAAATAAATACGCTTGCCTGTTCTAGAGACCCTTAAACTTGACTTTTATATAAATGTTATACTTTCATTGGAGCTAGATTCTTGATCTTCTACGAGTATGACAAGGTTATTCAAGTGAAAATCTAGTAGATTTTTATTCGATGCATCTTAATGATTTTATGAATCGACTCCAGTTTTTGCATAAGATACAACAATGAAGAAAAAGGTAACTTTGGGACGAGGCAGTGCACATATTCAAGCTATAGATCCTCTTTCACCGAAGGAATATTGATTACGTCCAAAGAATAACGTGATAATTGTGGCACAGCTTTGGGATGTTTCCACAGGAAAATGAGAAAATACTCGAGGGTTCAACAAATTAGGGTTTTTCGTGAATTGTTGGAAAATGATTTGTTTTTTTAAATAAAATTTCAATATCAATGGATCAAGTAATGAATTAAAATCAATGAGTTAAAACACTGAAGAGATAGAATTTCTCTTGATTGGATCGGATTATTGAACGTCAATTATTCATTTTTTATAACTCAATTAGAAGTTTTCATTCCGACACTCTAATCGGAAGATTTATCATTAAAAATCAATTTAATTCAAATGTAACCCTAGAATCTAGATTTTCTCTAAAAATTCCCACAATTATTTATTGAAATTAGATTATAAATCGACCATATACATCAAGCATAACGCAATGAATAATCACACCAATAAAATAAATGAAATGACTGTCCACAAGTATTTCGATCGTTCGATAGAAAAAACATGACTAATGTCTATGAAAAATCTAATAAGAGTTAAACCAATTTCAAAATAAATTTATGAAGATGAAATCTAAAACTAGAATTGTTTAACATGAAAAATAACAAATTACATAAATAAAAGACGTGAAGTCACCAAATCCAATGAGTTCCTCTCTTGCTTCATCAAATTGTTTAGTTCTTCTTGGAGTTCTTTAGCCAAAAGATGAGATAAAAGTGTATGGAGGCGTTCCCAATATGTATTCTGCTGTTAAGTATTTGTAGGAGTCGAAAATTGGATAAAATCAAGTCCAAATTGATTTCCAAAAGAGTTCCAATCGAATAAGGAAAGTTGTTTTTGCGCATGGATTTTGTCTTTACACAGCAGTCAGTATTTTGATCATAATTTTCTCTCTCGATATCCGATTTATACGATTCAAAATTAGTTGAAAAGATAACTCAAAGGGATACAACTTTAATATAAGTAGATTTCTTCCAATTCGGACGTTTACTATACCAAAAATGGGTCTCAATCTTCGATTAAAAATATGGAATATATCTTGTGCGAATTGAAAATTGATTTTGATAATATTTTGATTATATTCCATTTCTTTTTGAGTTCCCATTACATCCAATTGCCTCCTAGCAATCTTCAAAGTTTGTGGTCCGAATCAACTATTGATTATTTGCAATTTGGTCCCCAAACTTTGAATTTTCTTTCATTTTGGTTCATTTTCCTTATTTCTTCTCAATTCCGCTACATTCATCATGATGTCCTACAAAACATAAATTGCGTAGAATTAAGCCATATTCAAACATATTAATCAACAATTTTTCATATTTTGATAGTAAAATAAGTGTGTAAAAATACACTTATCAAACTCCCCCAAACTTGATCTATTGTTTACCCAAACAAAAGTGTAGTTTAACTCTACACAAAACATGGTTTGACAACATGCCCTGTCTTAGGATTGGAATTCAGTAATCAAACAAATGAACACTTACAACAATGTAAAAATTAAATCAATCTCCACCCGTTACATGCTTACCTCGACGGGTGTGTATGAAAACTCATATCAACGTATCAAGATTGTGATTGGTTCAATACCTGACCCATAACAGTCAAATATATCCTTACTTCACTCGAGAGATACACACCCCCTAAACTTATACTTTTCACTCAATTTTCCCGGGGTGCATTTTAAGTTAAACTTTTCAATTCTACTCCTTATCCTCTCTTAACTTGGATATATCTCACTATTACAAACTCACATTTCAACAAGTCGAAATTCTCATATAGTTTTGATTGCTTCAACCTGTAAGACTAAATTGAGTTACTTGCTTTTCATCAAATGTGTAGTTTTATCAACCGAATATCTGGAACTCAATCAATGTACTTGTTTATTTTTTTCTTTTCATTTTTATGTTTTCTCCATTCTTTTTTTTTCGAACATCTTCTCATTTGCTTTCTATATAACCCATGCAGCGAATTTTAAGCCGATGACTCCATAGTCAAATGACCATTGGGCACCAAGTTTTAAATCACCCTTACAAGCTTAATCACCCGAGTTATATAGGCTCGAAAAGATGCTTTTATTCACTCAAAGATTAGTGGAATGCCCATTTTCTTTTAGACATTCAGTTTTTAAAACTAGCATCTAACTTAAAACTTTCACCTCGTCTTCGTTCCATTGGCTTTTAGACAATCCACACAAGATTTTCATGTACGGAATCCCAACTCATCTCAATGTTCCTTTGTAACAGCTCAAACATTTCCAAACTATATATTTGGATTATGGACCAGTACTATAGAGGTTGTTCGGTTTCACTTACTATGTTCAACTATTTTCTAAACACTGAACCACATCACTAACTCAATATATCAAACACGAGTAACGTCTATAGAGAATGTCAGGTTTCACACAAACAGGTTTTGACTAATCTAACACTGGACTATTTTCATTATTCACGGCCGATACACATTCCAATAATCACATCATAGTCGGCACAGTTATCAAATCCACACAAGCACACAAAACTAAAGCTGTAATCTAATACTAGAAAAAAAATAAAAATAAATTGAAAATAAATAATTAAAAGCTGTAAAATCTTTTTTTTAAACGCACACTCACAAAAAAAATGCAGACTAAATGATGAATGCATGAACGTCCACCTCCAAACTTCTTTGGAACATTATCCTCAATGTTCAGATAACCACAAATAGTAAAACAGAAAAGCACGTAAAGAATATGACAAATGTAAAATAAGGTAAAGAAAATGAGATTCAAAGTACTCCCCTGATCAGTGTAAACGTGGGGGATGGAAATCGATCGCATAGACTACCTGGAGGACGTCAAAGGTGGTAAATAGGGTCTGCAAGGAAAATTTCTTCCACCACAGACACTTGTTACCTATATGCCATTTTCAAATGATGTACATTCACTTTGAACACTGCCCTATTGTCAAAAACATGTTGTACCGCAAAGGGGTCAATCCACCTAGAACGAAGTTTACCTAGGTGTTTGTGGAGTCTAGAATCGTAAAAGTATACTTTTTGATTTTGTTCAAAAGTTTTTCTCAAAATATTTTTATTATGAAAAGCTTCCATTTTTGCCTTGTAGATTCTAGAACTCTCATAAGAGTCATTCATCAATTCCCTAACTCATTCAATTGATATTTTCTAAGCTTACCGCCCTCGTCTAGATCAAAATTAAAATGTTTAATTGCCCAATAGGCTCGGTGTTCAAGCTCTACACGTAAATGGCAAGGCTTTCCGAAAATGAGATGATATAGTGACATGCCTAAGAATGTCTTAAAAGCTGTGCGGTAAGTCCAAAATGCATCGATCAGTCTTAAAGACCAATCTTTACTATTAGGGTTCATCGTTTTTTTCAAAATTTGTTTAATTTCCCTATTAACCAGTTCTAAATGTCCACTAGTTTGGGGGTGACAAGCAGTAGAAATTTTATGAATGACCCCATGCTTTTTCATAAGTGTTTCGAATGAACAGTTGCAAAAGTGTGTGCCTCTATCACTAATAATAATACGTGGTGTGCCAAACTGAGACAAAACATTTTCTTTCAGAAACTTAACAATCGTTTTATGGTCATTAGCCCTACAAGCAGAAGCTTCTACCCATTTAGACACATAATCAACTCCTACAATGATGTATAAATAACCAAAAGATGGTGGAAAAGGCTCCATAAAATCAATTCCCCAACAGTTAAATATTTCAATTACCAAAATGGGATTTATGGGCATTATCTTATGTCGGGACATAGCACCTAATTTTTGGCATATTTCACAAGATCTACAGCATTTATTAGTGTCCTTAAATAAGGGAGGCCAATAGAAACCACACTGTAAAATTTTTGCAGCAGTCTTTTTTATAGAAAATTGGCCTCCATATGCTTGTGTATGACAAAAACTTAGTGCACTAGGTATCTCCTCATTCAGAACACAACGTCTTAAAATTTGGTCGGGGTAGTATTTAAATAGATATGGATCATCCCAATAAAAATTATGTACCTCAACTAAGAACTTCCTCATGTCGCATTCCACTCTCTAAGAATCTTGCCTATAGCCAAATAGTTCACAATGTGAGCAAACCATGGTAGAGAAGATACAGAAAATAAATTTTCATCTGGAAATTCATCTCTAATTGGAAATGTGATTGCATTATCTTCGAAAGTTAGCCTTGATAGATGGTCGGCCACCATATTCTCTACTCCCTTATTGTCTTTAATGGTGATGTCAAATTCCTGCAAAAGTAAGAACCACCGTATTAATCACTTCTTAGCTTCCTTCTTTGTAAGAAGGTAGTTAAGGGCTGCATGATTTGTGAAGATTGTAATGGGAAAACCAATCAAATAAGATCTAAACTTATCAAGCACAAAAACTACAGCTAGTAACTCCTTTTCGATAGTGGAATAGTTCATTTGAGCATTGTTAAGAGTTCTACTAGCATAGTAAATCAAAAACGGCTTACCTTCTTTGCGTTGCATTAGCACTGTAGCTACCACGTAATTACTAGCATTACAAAACCTTCTATAGAAACCTG